TATATATATATATATATTTAAAACAAATTTCTCTAATGAAACTCATTTTACCAAGACTAAATTATATTTTTTTGCCAATTCCAGAAGCCAATTTCCGTGAGAATTTTGTTTAGCAAAGTAAATAAATTTGGACACATCTAACTATATTGAGTCAACACATTTCTAGAGTCATCACTGGCAAAAGTGTTAATATCTTATTTATTCTTTATTTTAAAACTTATAAATTCTTAATTTCCTCTTAAAGCGTAAAAAAGGCTTCAAAGTCGCTACTCATTACATGGGCGTTTAGAAAGTTTGCCAAATATAAAACTTAACGTAACCTTTAATGAAATATATAAGCCAAAAGCTTTATAAAGCAAGTTTAGAATTCACGTGCCTACCGTCCCTTTAGATACCAACCTTAATACTTAACATTCTTAAAACGTACCATCCTTAAAACACACCATCGTTAAAACGTACCATCCTTTAAATATCTTTTCCAAACTTGAAATAAAAAGAATCCTTACTGGAGAACAAATCAGATTCTAAGGAAGAAAAATAATAAAAAGTATTATTAAAATCTGAATAATCATTACTGTGAGGCTATATTACAATAAAGCTCCGGAAAATAAACTGATTTTAAATTCGCTTTAACTATGACTAACCTCGATAAAATTCGTTACAGGCTTTGTTAAATGCATGTTTTAAATATTATTCACATCTAAAAGCATGTAGATTGTAAATCAGCCTAAAATTCTAAAACTTAATTTCAGAGAATTGTACATTGTAAAAAATTACGGATAAAATGGAGGTAAAAAGTATTAACACATTGAGCGCCATATCTGAAATTCCATTTTACCGTAAAATATATTTTTACCGTAAAGTTTTATACGGAAATTTTCACACCAATAATTATTTATTTACAATGGTATATATTAAAGTAAATATATTGCAGTAAAAATTATGGTATATTAGAATTTTGTTCCATAAAATTACAGTGTACATGAGAGAAAACTTAAATTTTATGCATTTTATTTATATAATCGAGGAATGTCTTTAGAAAATAATAAAATTCTTCTATTAAAGTTTAAAAACATAAATCGGTGTTTAATTGGAAATAGTGATAGTTACTTAACCTTTTTGCATACTTTTTAATGTAGTTACTGATATTATTATACTTAGGACCTGTTTCTCGAGTGCTGAAAGCGAAGATATTTGTTCCTTTGGATCGCTTGTGCTATTTGGCATACCTGTTGCATATCCCAATCATGTTCTTCCACAGTGGAGTTACACGAGATACATGGTTTATGGGACATCTAGAAATGGTAATTAGATGCTTATTTTTGTTACATTTTCCCTATTTAAGAGGAACACCATTCTGAAGTTTATGAAAAATAAAATAATTTTTTTAACATAATTTGGCGAATATGCGGTAGGAGTTCAGCAAAATATTTACTTGACACTATGTGTTATCAAATTCGGCTGTTCTCTCTACATTTTGAACTTATATAGATATATATAAGGAAACAAATAATAATTAACTTAACAATTAACAAATTTAACAAGAAAAATATAACAGTTAATAAAAACGACATCAATAACCTACATGCAGCACTGCAGGACAAAGAATGAATGTTGATAGTTTTTAGCTAACACAGTGTTGCTTATCTCCCAAACGTTAAGGAGAATATTTGAATAATAAATAATAAAATTATTTTGATGGTTAACATTAGCCCTACTATTTCCAGCATATATATATATAAATATAATATATTATAATGCCTTGTATTTTGCTTCAAAAAGAAAATTCATTAGTGTTCCCCTTTGAAGATTTCTGAGACTGATAGATTCGAAATATGTATACTAACTCCTTTTTTTCTACCTTTTCAGTTTTTTCTGAGTATTGCATACTCGTTCGTGTCATTTCTGTGCGCCTTCTTCGTCTACATATTCTTTGCCAGTCCTTACTTTGCATTAGAAGAACATATCTTATCACTTTTCATAAGGAAGAAAAAGGAAAACGTAAAGCCTACAAACGGATACACTCCCCGAAATGTATCAGTTATTACTTTAGAAGATACCAACGTGCAATTAACTGCATGAATTTTTTAAAGTATTTAAACAATTTATTTGGACTTATGCAAAAGTGCTCAACTGATATAACACGTTCTTCAAAGAAAGTGAACACTTGTAAATAGTTGATCTATTTAAATATTTGGTATAATCTCAACTATGTAGTATTGTTTTGGGATATTTTATGGAGAAATATGTTGGGTGATTCAGACCTATTGTTCAAAAGTATACACGTCGGCAAAAAACATGATAACAAATAAGAACTATATCATAGATCTAGAATCAATCACAATTTAGACATCTTATGTATATGAATGCTACATATCTTGGATAGGTGTTTTATTGGCCTAACTGAATCCATTCTGTCATCACCTAGCTCATAAAATATATCTCTGGTAAATATTTTCCGGGGTTAAGTATAAATCCTTGAACTTGATATCCCAGAGGAATTGGACAAGGATTTGATGTTATGAATCATTTTTACAAGTAGAGAAATTGCCCATGATCCAGACATTCTTGCGGACGTTTATAAATCAGTTCATCAACGTTCTTGCAAAGCTTGTGTTGCAGCCTTAGGCCTTAAATCGAACATATGCTTTGAAACTCTCTTTTAAACGAAAATGTAGAGTAAACAAGTTATTGTACAGTAAAATATATATCATTATCTTTGGCCTGTCTCGCATACTTCTATTTCTGGCTTCGTGGAAATGTAGTATATCTGCATATTATCGATCTAATATTTCTACATAATTCTTGTGGCGTGGATGTGTGGATATTGTGTTTATATGGACCTGACATGTAGAGTTCCATGTCATCTACATGTCACATCTTAACATGTAAATTTTTGAACAGTAGTTTTAAATCACCCAGTAATTATATCGCACACTGAAGTCATAAATCTGCAAGATTTATGCATCTCTAGCAGAAAAAAAACAATCTTTTAACATCATCATATATTTCTTACCATTTTTTCAACGAAGCAAAAGATAAACTTTTTATCTTATTAGCAACAGATGAGTTTTTATCTTATTAGCAACAGATAGGTCTGTCGTTATTAAAATATAAACGATAGACTGAAGTTGTGAATGGACAGTTGAACATTTAAAAAGTTTCAGGCTGCAAATTGTACTTTATAAACAATTCATTATTCAGCAGGTCTGAAATACTTTACTGTGTTAACTTGTAAGTGAGATATATAATGAGAATTTGTAAAGATTCGAGTAAGAATCTTCGAGCAAATTGAATACAAAATTTCGTTGAGTTACTATATTTATGAGTAATTTCGTCGAGTCAAAATTTCCTTTTAATAAGGAATACCTAAATTTGGTGAATTTAATAATAAATTCGCATAAATAAGGATTTTCTGGTTTCTATAAATAAAGTACTTTTCAGCATCAGGAATTTCATCAAATAGGGATTTCTTATGATTGGATTATTTTGGTAAAGCTTATTAAAATTTATAAGAAATGTGAATAAAAATTTCCTACGAATATAGAATTTAGATAGGTAATTCATATGAATGGGAAATTTTTTAAATGAAAGTATTCTTAAGATAAAATTTTCCTAAGTACAAGTATTTCCCAATAAATAAGGAAATTTGGTAATTTTTTATATTTGAATTCTTGATATATTACATTTACAGATTTAACTGTAGTTAAAACAAATTTATTGTTACCTTTCGAAATAAAATAATTAGGATGAAACCAGAAACTTATAACTGAGTTTAATTTTTAAAAATCAACAATTATGATATTATTAGGGAAAAAGAAAGATGGTTTTAACACAAAAAATATTAAAATCAAATGATGTAATAATTGAATGTAATGCTTAAAAAATTTTGATTATAGTTTAATGTTCTAGCAATTTCTGTGTACAAGGATCAATATATTACTATAATTATTATATTGTATGCTAATGTATCTTTATACTGAATATATTATGTGTGTGTTTTATGTTTGAGTTCAAGAGTTTGCCTAGTCAAATCGGTGTTTGAATAACCTCTCAACATTTTTAAGACCTTCAATACTTCCAAAAATATTTATATTTAATAACGAAACTGTTTAATGGTGAGCAATTAAAAAAAAGTCTCTCCATCAGTTTCGTGATCAAAAAAAATCTTGATTTTAATTTTATCTTTGTTTTCATTCAATTTCACAGAAAATTCCATATCATGCGCGCTTTTAAAAACTTAAACATGTGCTAAAATACAAAAATTCATTGTCTGTTCCACTATTGAAGGGATTATAATATAATATTCCTGGTAAAAGCACCATTATTTTATTAAAATATATATTTATTTATTTTATTTTAAATACCATAAACATGTACATATTTTTTATTAAAAAAATATTTTTCTTTTTTACGCTTATTCCACTGCCAAGCTTTTCAGTTAGTGCATATAATTAAAAATAACAATCTATTTTATAAGCAAGCGTAATATTTTTCTAGTTAAAATGTGTTTAGTTTTAATTTCTTAAAAATTAAAATTCATTTAAACAAAATGTTTTGCTTTAAATTTTTTAAATGAAAAACCTTTATGATTAAATTTAATGTTTTTGTGTACATCAATTACAGCAATGTATGTGAAACAGTTATTCGTAATTGAAAGCTTGCAGAAAAATCTTGTTAAGTGAAAATTAAAGAAAAACAAACGAAGAGTATGCACGTGTGATGATTAGCTGTAAGTATGGAATATTGCGTTTCTTCTACCATGTTTTAAAATAAAGTGGATGTAAACTAAAAATATTTTTCCGTAAACATTTACCCGGTTCTTATAGTTAAAAGAGATTCTTATAAAAGCTATTTTTTAAACTTCATTAAAATTTCACATAACATGATTTTTCAATGAATTTTCCGATTGAACTATTGTTATAACTGTTTGTCAAAAGCTGTTTGTTTGTTTGTTTGTTTGTTAATAAAAATTTGTGATCTATTTTTTTGTGTCTTTTTTTTACATTTAATTTTATTAATTCACATTCAAAATGCCAAATTTCATTTTCGATTTAAATGTGAAAATGAGTTAAAATTTTATATTTCAAAGCTCTAATAAATTCGGATTTTTTTTCTTCAGATTTTGCATTTGATTTCAACTAAACTTCTGTGAAAAAAATATTTCAATCAAAACAAGTTCTTATTAATTATTTGAAAATCGTTTTCGAAATAAATCACACTGTGTAGTAAGAAGGAATTAAAATCAATAAGTTTAAAAACTTTTACTAAAAGTCTTATGGCATTAGCTTAGTTTAAAAAGATTATCCTTTTCACACAATAAAAAAAATTTCTGTTTTTCCCACTTTTAAAATAAAATCTTTTTACTCTCATTATTTCAATTTTTTTACTTGTTGTTCCTTTTATGACACACATGCAGTTATTTTCACATTAAGAAATAAAATGATACGCAAAATCGTAAAGAAATCGATAATTTGGCTAATAACAAACGATGAATAAGGAAAATTGTAATTAAAGTATTATTTTGTAAATATTTTATAGTAGTATTAATATTTGCCTAAGAAAGGTAAAATTAAATATTTCCTGCCTATAATTATTTAGAGATCTATCATTTATAAAAAGATTTTATGTAAATGCGTTTGGCATAATAATGAATAAAAAAAATTGTTTCTTTCCTCTGTGTTATTTATTGCAGTTCACTTACAAAACTCAGTTCAAGTAATAATTCATAAGCTAAATTTATAAAGAGAATTTTCGAACTTATCACATAATAATGGTAGTATTTACTTTTTAAATGCTTTAAGTTACAGGAGCAAGCTACGTTAGCATAAAAATTAACTTTTAAAAAATGCTGCATTATAATTAGAGATAGTGCAAAAATTAGTCCCATTACTTTATATAATAAGCACTCATATTATACAGTCAGAATCAATTGTTTTGTGTGTGTTTGCTGTTTACATTTTAGATTGTTTTAGTTTGATCATTTTAATTCAATAATTTAATTGTATTTAAACGAACATTTAAAAAAAATATAGTCACATGCGTGGTATGGGTGCGGCCTTGCGTGACGGATCTTAGTTTTAAGTTCATCTCAGATTAATTTTTATCTCAGCTCCCAGTTCACTTCTCGTCTATATCAAAATAAACTTGAGAAAAAAATACCACAGTAAATAAAATGGAAATAATTTAATGTTCCTTGTGCGACTAGGTAACATTTAACCCACAGACCAGTACCGGTCCGCGGACCACTAGTGCAAAAGACAGAAAATTTACCATTAAACTTTTTTCGAAAAGAGTGTAATAGTTGGAATATTTTAAATTATTTAAACCTTATAATTTATAATATAATTTCCAAAATAAACAGCGAAGTAATGAGACAGATATAGAATTACCAAGCTCCTTTAAAATTTGTAAACATAGGTAAAGTATGAATTATTCTTTCATTTTTGGAAAAGGGTATATTTCAACAATATTACATATATACATTGATGAAAAATATAGGAAAAGAACTACAAACTCACCAAGTTTATACACTCTCTATAAATTTTCAATATGTGCCTTTTGGTGACATATCCAAGCGATAATCGAGCTCATTTAGAAGATTTTGCAGCATACTTCCGTCAATTGTTTTAATTTGCGGCACTGATTTGTCCCTTGAGCTGAACTGATAGCGGGAATATGTAAACAAGGTTCATAACTTAACCTCACAGTAAGAAGTAGCTGAACGTTAAATCAGGAGGTGTGGGAGGACAGGGGAGCAAAGCTAAATCATTCTCACTAATATGTTCCATTGAGTGAAGTTCATCGCTTAGGAAGTCCCGATTTGGAATGTGTCAATGACCCGTCGTGATGAAGTCCCTAAAGCCGAAAGCTAGCACTGGATTGTAGGAACAACAAAAACTGCAACACTCAGGTAACAATTACCGGTGACAGTTTTCTGAGTGGAAAAAAACTATCTATATACATCTTTGAAACATTGCAAAGGAAACATTCACCTTTGAAAATTCTCTTTCAATTGGCACAACTGTACTTGGATTTCTAGTACCCCAGAATCACACATTATGGCGTTTCCAGATAAGGGGAACGTTGCTTCATAGCTAAATATCAATTTGGCAGTAAAATCTTAGTCCTCCAATGCTTCTTGCATGTTGACGCAAAAATCCGTTTTCTTTTGAAATACAACCATTGATGAAAAATCTTCTACATAGTTTTCACGGTTTGCTCGGGACGTTGATTTTTATTTATTTATTATTTTTTGTTGTTGTTTACGCTGGAAACTATTCTTTACTTTCTCCACTGTTTCATTTTTGTCTTGGTCGACCGGCGTTTTTCCCTTCACACAAGCAAACAGTGTCCTTGAATTGCCGGTATCACCGCAAAACACTTTCTGTAAATGGTGGCTCATTCCGTACACTCTTCTGAAAGCATCTTTAACAACCATAGCACAAGAACACAAGGCATACTCAAGTGTGAAAAAACCTTTTTTTTCTTGCTTTCCCTCCCTTAATGATAAGCACTAATCTCACACTGCCACACTTCTACACCTGATTGAAAAAATGATGAAAATGTGGTGAGTCTCTCTTGTTTTCCATATATCTTTCATGGGTGTACGTGCAATATTCTTGATGATATAGCCTTTTCAAAACGAATAAATTTATTAGTGTGCTGATATTAGAATTGTACTAGGTGTTAAATTGAAGATCTAGTTAAGTTAAAAATGACCTTTATTTAAATAACAGAAAGCTTTTTACTATTTCTAGCTATAACAATACACTGAAAATTCTGTTCGCTCAGTCAATTTTCCATACGATGCCATCACTACTAAATAAACAATGTTCGAACTTTTCGACAATGTTAGAACTTTTTTATCCTGTAACGAGTAGTCCACCTTTCTCATCAAAAGTTGTCTACGGTTCAAAATTAAGATCTAGATTTGGTGAGGAAGGTGAAGGTCTCGGTTTGGCTATACTCTTTGAACAAACTCTGATGAGAGTGAAATATATTTGTAAAAAAATCGTGCGAGAACAAAAATTTGTGTTTGTCAGTTACTACCATAATAGTATGAGCCCTTTAAACCACTTTTGGTTTAGCAAGTGGGCAAAATTGGGAGGATGTTTCACCTGTATACACTATTTACCTATCTAATAACATGGAGAAGCCAGTTTCGCTATGTGGAGAAGCTTGCAGGTTAAAATACGATCTTTTACATGCAGAATCACCAGTGAGTTAAATAATACACTAATACATAATTTAATAAAGTTTGTCAAAAATAAAATCAAAATGATACATAAAATAGGGAACGAAAATATTTAAACAAGGAAAAATTATAATCTTTGTTAAAACCTAACCAATCATATTAAGAAGGCGAGATAAAAAATTCAAAATCTGTTCGATACCCAAAGAAAACTGAAACTGAAGTCGGGAAATCAAACTGATTTTTATGTTTTTGATCCTATCCCCTTTAATTATTATTTTTAATATTTTTATAAGTTTTTTATTTTCTTCCTTGCATTTATATTAATTTGTGACTCCTAATGAATAAAATTTCTTGACTTCATTTCGTGAGGTTTTGTCTTCTATTTTGTTAATTTAATCAAAAGGAGGTTTTAACTTTTTTTATTATTTATTTCATTTTATTTTTTTTTTGTTGATGTTTTTACTGAACTTCCTACGAAAATAATTTTGTTTATATCAGGCTCCTGCCAGAAAAATTTGCTTTCTTCTTCTTTTTTTTTCTTTTCACTTATTTATTTTTATTATAGTGGTGGAAAAAATTCTAAATGCCTGAAATTGTTAAAAATTTATTTTTAAGAAAGTATATGAAGAAACAGAAATTAGTTAAAATCCATGAAAAAAAATTAAAAGAAATTTTACAAAAAGATAGATCCATTTCGAATAAGAAAAATGATGCAAAAATTATAAATTTTTAAATAAAATCTTATTCTCTTCTTTTAAATATTAAAAAAAAGCATTTAAAATAAAATTAGAACCACCCGGAATCTTTTGAAAATATGTGTAGTTATTTTTGGATAAATAAAATGATTATAACATATTTATAGGAAATCAAAATACATAATTTTCCCACATTTCAATATTAATGGCAACAATCCTGAAAATTTACTTATTGTTGTCCCTTACTCTCTGTAACAGTCATCTCCAATTTAGAAACATAAAAAAGATGTTGTAAAGTACATCAACAATAGTTGATAATAATGTCAGTCTTATTCAGCATTACATAAATTAGAATAAAAAAGCTTAGTACTCATCAAATCAAAATTTCAGGTAGTATAACTTCGCAGCCTTTTATTTACGAAATTTAAAAACAAAATTTTTAGTCAGATTAGCTAAAAAAAAAATACACATGCTTCGACGTAGTGCGACCTTTCCATTTGGAAATAAACCTGACGCTGAATTGTCCTGGAGAATTTTAAGCAACGCAGTGGAAAAGCGTCTTTTTGGCTCTGAATATATAGCTGTACCATACATTGCTTTAGCGGATTACTTTAATCAACTGTACGTGTTTGTAAAGAAGCGAAATGTAAGTAAAGACGAGTTAATAATTTTCTTTTTAATAAAATAGCAGAGATTGGGGAAGCATCATGGTATGTCACATTTTCAAATTGTTCTTAAGAGCTTCTTTTTTTTTTTTAAATAAAAAGCATTTAAGAGAAGGCTTCAAAATATTTCAGTGTAAAGTATTTCTTTATCGTCACAATACTGGAAACGGGTGTAGTACTCATTTGGAAACAATATTGGAGAATGGTGTCACGTAAAATTGTCCCATTTAGAAAAAGTGTTGTATATCATTATGCTGTCTCATGCACTTGATATTAAAACTAAAACTAAACTACAACTTTAGAAATTCCGGATCAAATTACGGTATATAGTACTAGCACTTTTTGTACATCATTCGTAAAATCTTTTTAAAACATAACATATTATTCCTTAATTTTTACAGCATTTATTTAATTTTAGTGATTCATG